GGGTCGGGGGCGTGAGCGGGGGTCCTCGGAATGAGGACGGGGGGGCGGGGGCGGTAATTTGGTTTTTATACAAAAACCAACGGAATTTACAATCTTTCTAAGATTTTTATATGTTGTTAAATGATCTCTTTATGATCTTTTATGATCCTTTTATGAGTTTTTTTATGATGTTGTTTACATGGGGGAGGGGGACGTCTAAAGAGTATATAATCATAGCTTGTGTGTAGCGTTGTCGTATTTACACATGTTTCAAAACCGCAAGCCGTGTTTCCCAAACAGCCTGCAAAAGGAGCTTCGAAGGAGCTTCGTGCTCTGCCAAGGCACAGATGATATGAACTGGATGCGGGCTCACATGTCTAGTTATAAGAACAAGACAGTCATGTCAGAGAAGCTGCGCGAATGAGATAATCTGAAGTGTAAAAACAGCCATAAAATACAATAAAACAAGAAATCCGCGAAACATAAACAAATCATAGATGAATTGCAAAAAATGTATTTGAGATCATGGCTCACCACGCAGGATCCAAAGTCATGAGGGTATTGGGCTTTTTGGGTACCCTCCAGCCTAAACCCAAAGTCTGAACTCCCACAGCCTACATCCAGAGCACTCAGCTACAAACCCACAAACCTCCCAAAAGTTAAAGTTTACATCCTGAAGCCTACACCTTACAGGATCAGCTGGTGGGCTCGTACTGAATTCATAGCTAAAGACCATCGAACCTTGTGGTTTAGGGCTACGAGCTTCATGGCTTACGGCTTAAAGGCTTGAGGGTTTAGTGGCGCAAGCGACTTCTGGATTTCCAGCGCAAGGATACGACTAAGGGCTTCGAAAGAAACGCCGGAGAGTTGACCAGCAGGGTCTAGAGCTCCGGGATGTTGGTTGTGGCGAGAGAGGTCTAGTGTTTCGGGGTTTGCAAGCACTCCAATCCCAAGAAGCAGGAGTCGTAATTAGACCCGAAACGCTTTCGGCTTCAGGGCAACTGATTTAGGTCTTCGGGTTTTGTGCTTTATGATTCACGGCGTCGCTGAAGACTCACAGCCGAGTGGCGGGCCAACTCAAACGTGCACCAAAGCCGAGTGAATGTCCGAGGCGTCCATAAAACGATGAGGTTCTTGGACTTGGCCAGAAAGCCAGCAAGACCCATGATGCCCTGTTGCTTAAGTTCAGGGTCATGCTGGGCAATACACAGCCGATCCAGAAAAACCACCGTGTGCAGTTGCGGAACTAGACTTCGCACACGTTGCCAGAAGCAGAAAACTCCCATAAATGTCAAATACGTCGCCGCGCTTGCTGTTTGCCAGCCACCTGCTTGGTGCCCTCGAAGGCCAACCCTAAACCCCCGGATCCAAGTTGGGGCTTTGTTCTTACAGGCAGGTTTTCTACAAAAAACATCGTCACGTCTCCCATAGAGAGGAGAGCGGAGCCTGAGGAGCCCTGCGGAACGACATAGGGTTGGGGGGTTTAGGGGCTGGGGTTTAGGGCCAGTTTAGGGTTTAGGCTTCCTTGCAGTGTGGCCTTGCCCTGCAAGCGATGATATGGAGGTTCCTGACTTTAGCGGCCAAAACAATGACCAATACTATTCCTGAAGGTTCCTCCTATGCTTGTTCCATAACATCACCCAAAGAATCCAAAAACCCCAGTCAGAGTCGCGGTATATCCTTCACCCTACAACCTAAACTGTAGCAAACACAGGCCATAATTACTAGATTCCACTTCTTCAATCCCCTACTTACATGCTGAGCCTTGCCTGCAACTCAGTATTCTCCGAATTGGGACCCCTTGTAGAATCTCCGAAGAGAGCATGTCAATCCAGGTCCCTGACGAAGAATAGCCCCTCTATTCAAGAATAGGCTTTGAACTCTAGAGATGATGCTAGGCATGCAGAACACCGATAAATTCCTACAAAACCTCATTTAAAAACAAGAAGCTCCACAATTAAGGGAAACTGGGCTCTCGGTGCACCTGGAAGCCGACGGCCTAGGAGAAGCCCACATGTCAGGGCAGTCACCACCGCGGCAGCCAGTGCCGCTGGCACAGCGTTGAAGGTCACCTGGTCTAGGGCGGGCTTTACTGACAAGAATAGGGTCTTGGGGCACGTTGTACTATAATAAGGAACCCTGAAGTGGTCTTAAGAGCAGGGTTTGGTGATAGATTATACTATAGTAAGGAACCCTACAGCGGTAGTAGAAAGCTTTCAAGTTTCTGGCCAAGTTTCTACATCTGGTTCTCTCATTAAGTATTAAGGCCCTAAACCCTCAACCCTAAAACCCCAAAACCCTAAACCCTAAACCCTGAAACCCTCAACCATGAAACCCTAAACCCTGAACCCCTGAACCCAAAACCCCAAAGCCTAAACTCTCAAAGCTCCTGGGTGGAGGAGCCTTAGGACATCACGCTCCGAGATCTTGGGACTCAGGGTTCGGGATTTCTCGGTTCAGGGTTTAGGGCTTTAGGGTTTAGAGCTACAGGGTTTTGGGGTAGAGGGCTTTAGGGTTGGAGGTTTAGGGCCTTCGGTGTTCGGGCTTCGAATTTCGAGGGTTTAGGGGTTTGACATTGACGGGGTATATGTCGAGATTTAAGGGTTCAGGCTTAGGATCAGATCCTCTTCCCTATGCAAATGCCAGGCCGTTTGGGAGTTTCCACACTCGAGACCCAGACACTCTGAGCCGTTATTCAAGCCAGCCAGCGGTTTAGGGTTTTGGAGTTAGGGTTTAGGGTTTAGGGCCACCGGAATCGGGCCTAAAGAGAAACTATAGGAACCCAACAACGACAAATCCTTCGGAGCAAATCCAAAAATGGCAAAGCCCGGCCACCAGCAAAGCCAGAGTCTTAGACCAGCGAGAGGTCTGCCAGTCGTGGCTAAGGAAGTAGTCAATGCTGTCGGTCTGATGACCTCATGGCGGGCTACGGGTCTAGGCTTTAGTTTAGGGCTTTCATGCTTAGGGATCTGAAGTTTTGGGGAGGGGATCAAGGCTTCTGCTTGGCTCGGGGCGAAAAGCTTCAGATTGGAACTTCGAAGTCCGAGGCTACAAGACAAGAGGCTCCGAAATAATGCTGTCGGCTTCATCGTAGAGTCAAAATGCAGGAAGGTTTAGGCTTTGGTTTTCAGGTTGAGCGTTGCGGGTCAGATGCTGAGGACTTGTAGAGTTTAGCGCTCGGGAACCAGGTTAGGGAGATTGGGCCGGCAACAACCAAGTTGCCGCTTACGTGCCGTGACTGCCAAGCCGTTGTGCTGCCATGGGTGGGAATCCAAACCGTTAAACCTCAACCAAGCATTGAAACCGACACCCGAATCCACGATCCATCCGCATAGCCGCATTTTGCTACTGAATTCCCTGGCACTTTAAATGAATGATTGGGGAGGCGTGTTTGGACCCAGAAAGATTTTAAGGCTGCCTCTCAGCTACGACAACGGTAAACCCTGCACCCGAAAGCGAACCCTGGATCCCCAAAAGAACGAAACCCCAAAATCGTAAATCCTTGTAACACCCTACAAGACCCTCATAAGACCCAAAGGAAATCTGCAGAATACCGTCTTCTTTAGAAAAGTAAGACCGAAAACCGAAGCGCAGGCAGGCGGCTCAGTGAAAAATCATCCGAGTCAGACTGCTGAAAATGCTTTCCTGAAGGGGTTTTGGGTTTGGGGCTTTTGGGCTTGGGTTTTGGGGTTTGGGGCTTTTTAGTTTAGGGTTTGGGGCTTGAGGGTTTCGGGTTTCGGATTTAGGGTTTGGGGCTTTTGGCTTCTGGAAGGCAAGGTCTCTATGTGGAGTCTTTTGAGGCTCGATGTGGCTACACAGTACGACATGAGTGTTTTCTGAAGGTTCAGGGGTTTCGGTGCTAAGGATTTCCAGATTTAGCTGGGTTTACGGTTTTTCGGGCTTGGGGTTTACGACTGCGGCTTTCATAAGGTTCAAGGTTCAGGGCTTCAGTTTTCTATGTTCGGGGCTGGTCATCTAAGGTGTATGTTTCAGTTTTCTGAACAACACAAGTCTGCATAAGGGACGTACTTTCCACAGTTAGTGCCTAGAGGCCCCACTGCTGCAGGCACAGATCCAATGAGATGCCCCTGAGCATGTCAGATGGCAGATCGGAAGCCAATGACGTTTGAGATACCTCAGTATCGAAGTGCAAATCATCCGCCACAGAACTATGACAACAATCGCATCAAACTTTGAAGTATAGACCACAAACACTTAAAAACATCACATTCAAACACTGGTTCTCTGCATAACGTAAAGCTTGAAGTATGTAGGACTACTGCTACCCCTCCTCCTCCACCTCCTCCTCCTACAGCTACTGCTACTGCTGCTGCTGCTGCTGCTGCTGCTGCTGCTGCTGCTACTGCGACTGCGACTGCGACTGCGACTGCGAGTGCTTCTGCTTCTGCTACTGCGAATGCGACTGCCACAGGGACTGGGACTGCTACTGCGACTGCCGCTGCTGCTGCTGCTACTACTACTACTGCTACTGCGACTGCGACTGCGACTGCGACTACGAGTGCTGCTGCTGCTACTACTGCTGCTGCTACTGCTACTGCCACGTACTACTGCTGCTGCTGCTGCTGCTACTACTACTACCACCACCACCACCACGACTACTACTACTACTACTAATAACAATAATAATAATACAACTACTACTAATACTACTACTACGGCGACGACTGCTACCACAAGCAACACCGAGTGTCTATAATCCTAGCGCGGCCCAGGAATCAGCCCTACATCCCCTAGCCTTTATAGCTTGCAAGTCGTAGTGCCTAAACACCCTAAGCTTAGAAGTATAAGATCCCAAACAACAAAAATGTAAACATTCAGCAACGAAAGCTACATGCATAAAACAAGGTACAGTTTACCAAGCACAGCACCCTGCAACAACCGCAGGAAAAGAAACACCAAAAAAAGAAACCTAACCTCTCAAACCTCGGCGCTCGCCGCGCGGGGCCTTGGATATGTTCGATCTCGCGCATAGGCTTGGGCTCCGGTCGCCAGGGAACCATGGCTTCACAGGATGTTGAAAGCAGAAAGCCTGGCCTGCTGAGCACCGACTACTGGACCCTTCACTCTGTCTGCGACCACACGGCTGCGTATAGGTACATGGTGAGTTTCTTAGGGTTTGAGGCTTGGGGTTCATGATTTAGGGTTTAGGGTTGAGGGCGTGGCATCTTGCCTCCACCACCATCTTGGACATGTAGTAGGGCAGAACACCTGACTGCTGACCCTTAACCCCCTAGACGTACAGCCGAATCGCACATGACCCTCGCCAGCATCGGGCACAGGCCCTTTGGTTATTGGAACAGGGTCTGCTCCTGCGTTACTGCATCATCATTATACCCTCAAGCCCAACACTCAAAGCCCTAAACCACAAGCCATGCACCCTAAACCCCCCTGCTGTTTGTTACACTTCCAGCGAAACGGAATCGGCGCAAACCTTGCAACCGGCAACATGAAACATGATCATGTTCGAGTTGACAGTCGAGTTTATGGGGTTGGCATTTAGATTTAGGGTTAACGGTTAAGGGCTTCGGGTGTAGGGTTACGTGCCTTAGGGCTTGGGTCAAGGGCTTCGGGTCCAGGGGTTCAGGGACTTTGGGTTTAGGCTCGAGGGTGCAGTCAAGGCTTCGCAGAGCAGATGTCCGAAAAAAGCCCCCAAGAAATGGTCGTAATTGAAGTTTGGGGTGGGGAAGTCTGAACCGGGGACTCTGCAGCCTAAATCCTAAAACCCACTCAACACCCAAACCCTCAACCTTCATCCCTACACGCCCGTTCGAACCAAGAGAGACAAGCGTCTGTAGGTTCCGCTGCTGTACTCCCGTAAGAAGACCTGGCGGTTTCGGGTTTAGCTGACAGTCAAGATCTGGCATGACTTTAGGTACAGCAAACTACGTTCTGAACTATCGGAAACACTGTGTCTTATGGCACGTCGGCTAGCAAGATTTCGAGTTTCCGCCTCACCAAGAGCCTTCCAGCCCTCAAGCCCAAACCCCAGCTCCAACGCAAACCCGCAAATCTAAATCCTAAGTAAGTCCTAAACTAAACCTAAACTCTCATCCTTGCTTTGACCTTAAACTCGAAAACCTAAACACTCAACCCCGAAAGAACAATCAAATATTTCGAGCCCTTTGGGTTGGCTTAAAATCCCTGGAAAAGTCTAGCTAGAGTCTAGACTCAAACGGTAGCACCAGCCGCGCAATCAGACACAGAACCTAAGGAAGTCACCACACACACAGCCAAAATCAAAGTAGGGTTTAGGGTTTAGGGTTCATAAAACTTCGAGTTTGCAGGTTGTTGAGGGGTGTTTCGAGTGATGAGTTTGAAAGAGTTTTCAATGGACTTGACGGGTTCCACACGGGCTTCTTGAAGCTTTGGGATACCCTGTCCTGCTGGTCCTTGCGATAAGGATCTCTAAAACCGTGATGTGCTGATCCCACATAAGAGCGTGTAAGTGGTGGAACCAGGTTTCGGGAAGGGTTCAGACAGTTTCGGCAAGGGCTTAGACTGTAACAGAACACGGGAACTTGAGGAACAATATGACTCCATGCTTTCCCACTTTTCGAAGCGAGGTAGGACAAGCTTCTCCGTCCAAAACGCTTCTTTGCGCGACTGCCACGTCGGTGCCTCGCATAGCGATTTCAAGACGACGGGGTCTGTGTCTCCAGACGTCCCTCAAAGTTCAGCATTTTGGGGGGAGCTTGGAGGGTTTGGGGTTTCGAGAGGGCTCCTTCAAAGGGATCTAGAACGATGCCCAGCCGAACACTGATTCTGAAATCCAACAGCCCTGAACAAACAACGGACATGACAAACATTCCCGAAGCTGCACCCAATCAAAACTGAAGTTTCAGCTCGGGTGGCCAAGCTTCAAAAGTCAAAACCACCAAAGTCCACAAGGAAGAACACACCCGCTATCACATCTAGACCGCTAGCCGCTAGCCCAACCTGAACCTACCAGAAACGCTTTGTTGCGCAAGGTCCCTATTGACTCTATAGAAGGGGTTGTATTCGTACCCTACCAAAACATCAGTTCTAGGAGCTTGAAATAGGTTTTGTAAAACACTAAGACCTCACGCAGATCCTAGCCTATAACTCAACACTCACCGTTACCCTAAACCGATAAACCCTAAGTTTATGAGGGGGGTACAGCTCTCGAGCTATGTTCAAAATCCGAAACCGGGGAAGTCACTTCTAAACCTCGCAAGATCCTGACTCCACAAACCTACGAGAACCGTAAAGAACCGAACCAAAAGTGGCCTCAAGCTTAGAACAGACAACCGAAAACACCGTAGATAATACTGAGAAGAAATAACTATAGCAAGTATAGCATAACAATGGTTATCGTGCTCATGGTAGTAATCATAATAACAGAAATGAAGAACCAAGAAAGGAAGCTTAAGCTTCAAGCGTGTCAGTGCGGCGGGACGCTCCAGAGGAAACGTAAGGATCACGGGTTGGCAGGCACTGCGGCAGAAGGCCGTGGGAGCTGGGCTAGGTTTTGTACGGGGGTATGTAAGGTCTGTATAGGGTTTCGTAGGGGCAATAAAAGGTCTGAACAGTGAGCCATACGTATAATCGCCGCAATGCCAACATGGGATTGTATACCCGGGCCCCAAAGCCCATTCTAGCTGCTCATAAACATGTAGCTGTTGAATCCCGAGGAAAAGCTTCTTGTAGCACCTGCGAATCCCGAAACAAAAACTTGAAGGCTGAACACGCTCAGTGACTCAGACAGGATGGGTGTGCATGCTTGATCCTGCATACACCATCACCAGGAACCCGAAAGGAAACCATCACGAATTAATCAGGCCTATATATATATATATATATATATATGTACATATATATATATATATATATATTGCATGTTACACCTTGCTCGCCCAGGCGGGGTTCCGAAATCTAGGATTGGGGGTTTGGCAAGTGGGAATTTCCAGCTTGGGACATCTCAACCGGCCCGATCCACGTTCTGGCTATGGGTGACGATTCTGCCTGAACATGGCCACAAGGGCCACCTGCACCAGCGCGTTGAAGTGCCTTGGTACAAGGCTTCGGTTTTGCTTGAACCCTACACCCGACAACCTTCATTAATCCCCTCCTGCGAGTATGAAACCCCACCCCCCCGTCCCCGCCCCCTCAATACAAAAACAAAGGTTTTCCGGATTTGGGTTTCAGTATCAGGGAGGCTTGCAGACTGGGTTTCTTGAGGCTCAGAAAACCCAATAAAGGATGATCATCGGGATCTTAATACAAGATAGGGTCTTATGAGGAGTATACAAAAAGTGCTCTTGGGTGTCTTCTGAGCCTCTGCGCTCTTCAGCCGCTGCCCTGAATCCCGAACCGAACCCCGAAGCAAAACCGAACACGATAGCCACTGAACCCAGCCTTCGCCTGACCTGATATAGGACCCTTAATGGTTGGAACAGGGTTCGGGTTCAGGGTTTAGGGTTCCGGAGGCGGTTGTGGTATGTGAGACTTTTCAGGGCATAGCATTATTAACTGCTCGCAACTCTACATTATGCAAGGCCTTCCGACAATTTAGGTCAGTTGCCACTCGAGCTTCCTCTTTCTCAGAGCTGTCACCTTGCAACATGAAAGCTTGCAGGACGTCTATCGCAGAGGTTTGGGTTTAGGGGTCTATGGGCGGTGTGGGCCTTTGACAGCTTGCCTAAGCCAGGACAATCCTCAACGACGTCCCAAAGACCTCAAACTCAAAACCTCCGAATGCCGATCCCTAGATTAGCCGTCGAGTTAGCCTTTTCAACTCAACAAACTCGAACACTCTATGATTCTAAGTCCGTAGCGCAACACCTCGCCATTAAGATCTCAAGATTCCTGAACCCTACACCCTATAATTCCTAAACCCTAAACCGTATAATTCCTAAACCCTCAACCGGCCCAACAACTGTAACCATGAACCGCCTGAGCGCTTGGAGCCTAAGGCCCGGATACCTGATACTCCCTCGAGGTTCACGGTTTTTTGTTAAGATGCAGTGGCCTTTCTCCCGCAGAGCAAGGTCTGTGAGATTCACGGTTTAGGGTTTGGGGTTGCTTGATTTGTCAAGATCTTACCATGCCCTGCTTCGCACAGCGCAAGTTGTCTTGGAACAACACTCCGATGCAAGCTCTGCGGCCTAAGTCACTACCCCTGTACTCCAAACCCCATCACCCCAAAACTCTGAATCCCGCAGCCCATATACTCCGAATCCCTAAAATCAGCGCCCGAAGACCCCCGACGGAGCCTAGCTTGACACTTCATCCTGCTACTCGAACCGGGGTGGTCCTCGTGTTCCGAAACCTTCAGATGATGGTCGTTATCGAATGAGAGAGTGAAATACTGCGGGATCCAGGGAGGGTTCTTAACCTGAAGAATCCGCTGGCAACCAAGTGGCATAACCCTCATGAACTCCTATCAAGCTAAGCCGTATAAAACCCTATGAGACCCACTAAAATCCTCCGCAGTGGAAGACTCGTTGCCTCATCGTAGGTGAGACCCGTCCACATCTGATCGAAGATTGACTGACCAAGCGGTCGGGCTTCGGGGTTAAAGATTGTAAAAGACATCAGTTATGGATGGTGTCAACTTCCTGGCTAATAACCGCTTTTCTCCAAGGGCCTTGACATGCAGATCCCTATTCCGATCGTCGTTAAAGGGGGGGGTCCACACTCAGAGGTCTACCTTAAATCATTGATGGCATTATTGTGGGTAGCGATGTGTAAGCTTTTGGGTATGATCATTCATTAAAGTTAATGATGTGGGAGTTGGAGGGCGTTGGGGGGCTTTTCGATTCAGGGTTTAGTGTGTTTTGGGTCTTCCGGGTGTCTGCATGGAATCTCGGGCTTCGGGTTTTTGGTGCTGCGCAAGCTATTATAATGAGTCGTCCCTATGTTGGGGGGCTTTGGAGCACGAAGCTTAAACCTAGGACATGGAGGTCTGACATACAGTACCCAAACTTGGAGCAAACCCCCAACCCCAAAACCCTAAACAACAAACCCCCAAATCTCAACG